ACGCGCCCTCAGCTACCATGGATTCCTTGGCGAGGGCTTTGTGCGCCAGCATTTGGTGGTCGACGAGCGTTGGACGCCCAACTCTTTGACCGAACAGTTTAGTGGCATGTCAGCATTGTTGGGTAAGTGATCGATATATGCAAATCTCCTGGGATTAATTACCACTTTATTGACAGACCGTCATGCGATCTTCAAGCGGCTGGAGAACAGGGCCAATCGCCAGCGCTTTTTTACGGATAAAAAGCGACTTAAGCTGCAATGCCGCCTGGGCCGCACAAAGCTGTTGAACACCGTAACTGGAGATAATACCCACAACATTCGCAACCTGTTGATCAAACACAGGGATATGCAGCGTCTGTACCAGAGAATGCCCATACATCTAGTTGTGGATAATATCAATCAGCGCACCTTTGTGCTGCGCAAGGAGCGGGATCGTCTGGAGTGTCGATTGAGTCAACTAAAGTGTCGGTACAGAAAAATGCTGGTAGGTCTTCAGTGAAGAAATAAGAAATGAAATATTTATAAATTTGTTTGCAGATTGATCGTGCATTTCTAGAAAACCGCATCAAGTATCAGAATGAGTTTGTCTTAGAAGAGGAGGTGAAGTCGCAAGGGTTCATCAAGAGGATTGAAAACTCAAATATTCGCCTGAAGGCCATCAAGGTCATTAACTCTGCATACCAGAAAATGGTGCAGGTGCTGTTGCAGGATGAAATATTTTATGAGCCCATTATCCGGTCTCTCGCTGACGACATGGAGGATCAAGCGAATTTCATAAAGCATATACTCTACCTTGGCATGCCAGCGATAGCCAAGTTCAGGGAGCTCAACGTCCAGTATCGCCAGTTGGAGATCAAATCACGTAAAAATCTTTTGGAAAAGCAACAAATGCTCGCCTCATTAGTAGATCACAAGCCAGCTGGTTCTGTGGTACCTATGCGTGCTAAGCCCGAACGAGAGCTCTCTGCAACAGCAGATCCTAAGCGTTATTTGCGGGAGACGCACAGCATGTTGTTGCTCAAGAATGTGCTGAAAGTCGTCGAGGAAATAATCAAGGAGGTAAAGTTTGGTACACTCTGCTCCCAGGCCAGGGAGATTTATCCGCGGTAAGTCCACCACAATCATGAACGGCTGAAGCTTTAACTCCTGTTTGCAGTATGAAGAGCCAGATGGAGAACAATGAGAATATACGACGCATCGCCGAGCGCGAGGTGATGACTAGATATGCGCTGGAGGACCGAATGAAATTGGCCTCTGTGCTACAAGGCGTTTTAGTCAACAATCTATCTGAGGAGGAAATTAAGTATGCACATAACAACAACGAGAAGAACAATAATTTGCAATAGTCTTTTCAACTATAATGCCACAGTCGCCTGGAGTACATTAAGGACTTGAGAAAATCTGTGAAAGACGAGGAGAATATCGAGTTGGAAATAATGGAGTATTTAAAGAATCGCGGCGATGCCTTTATTATGTTCCGGTAAATCTATCATTTTCTCTTGCAAGTGACTATTACATTTTATTTGGCCATACAGCTTAAGTCTTTGGAATCTTATTGAAATATTGCGACATGTCGATCGCAGTCCCAAAAAATTCCAGATGATATATCCGAACTCGTATTTGAAACTGCCGCTTCTCAAATTCGATATGCTAACCATGTACGCTGCGCCGCCAGAGCTTTACGAGGAAGATCGTTAGTTGAGAGATCTGCTGAAAAAGAATTGTTTGTAATTTTTACCCCATTTTTTTTTTATTTGTACACAGTTGAGAAAGTTATGCACGTGCTAAAGCGTAAAGTATATAAGATGATGAAGCTCTTCAAGGCGGATATGGAATCGTCGAGGCAGAACTGTAAAGAAAAGTATCATTCCGCTTATTTGGCCACCGTTAATACTAACGAATTCATGGGCGATGACGAGGATCAGACAGCAATTGCTGATGATGATATAATACAGGACCAGAAGTTCATGGCCAATGTACCGAATCGCAAGCAGATCAAGATGCTGAGCAGCAGAGTTGTCGAGAAAGCTGTCAGACGTGAAGAACAATAATACTGTACAAAAATCTTTTATGCATTTGTATTTACGATAAATATTACAATACATTTGCAGTAAATCGTATAAATATCCGAATTCGCAAAAATGGGGATCGATAGAGTTGAAAGATTTTGCTGCCATTAAAGCGGAAATTTATCAATATCGATTGAGCAGGTTTTTATACCCTGAACCCATTAACAATGGGTAAAAATGGTATGTTTTTGTTTCAATGTATGTAACGAGAATAAGGAAGCGTCCGTCCGTCCATATGTATGAACCCAAGGATATCAGATCCTATAAGCCAGAGAAATAGATGTAGGTCCTCCTAGTACCTGCGCAGTTCGTGTTTGTTTTCGGTAATCGATAACTCGCTCCGTTTCCAAGCAATCGATATCGACATGCTGTTTTTTTGAGCAAGTTGAATAAATAAGCTAAAACTATCAATTTTAACATGTATCCTTTAGAATTTTATATCAAGTATCTTTCATTTTATACCTATCGTCACTTTCCCGCTACTGTAAATCAAATTAATAATCCAAATAATTTTGCCCACTAATTTAAGAGAAAATGTTAGTGCACTTGACTTTTTGAGAATACACAAATATTCTATGGTATATAAGATATACTGTAGAAAATTTCGTTAGGATCGGTTAAGAAAATACCAAATTTAATAATTACTGCGCAATTGGATGGGGCAGCCAGTGCAAATTCCAAAAGTTTCTGTATACATGCATGCGCGTTGCTTCGAAGTCTATCAACAGCATTCCAATTGCAATTGGATTCTGTGCTGCTACTTTAATTATTTTTTTTCCAATAATACTTAATTATAGATGTGGTTGTTGAGTAGAGGTATATCAAGTGGTTCATCCTGTCGCGCGCCCGGGGGATTTGTTTTGTTTTAATTTCTTTGCTGGTTTGGCTATTGAGTAGTGTCGTCAGCAAGTAATGCGGTCAGTTGCGAGTTCGAACCCTGCCAAGGGAACTTTTTATTTTCGTTGCGCTAACTGCATTTGATGTTGGAATAAGATCGTCCAGGCTATTCCTTAGTCGGGAGCTCCCGATTTGAACCTCTTACTTGTTTTTTTTTTGGCTGGTGTGGCTGTTGTGTAGAGTTGCCAGAAATTAATGCGGTCAGTTTCGACCTTGAACCCTGCAAAGGGCATTTTTTTTTAAATTTATCTTTATTACTTCAAACGAGCGCGTTGCGCGAACTGCGTTTGGTGTTGGAATAAGAGGATTCAGGTATTCGCTAGTCAGAAGCTTCCGACTAGAAACTCTTACTTGTTTAAATTACAATCGAAGGGTAATTAACAGTTGCTAAGACGGCTATTCTGTTTTGTAAGATCTTAACTCGGGAGTATTAGATGGATGTAGAGCTTGAAGCATGCAGAAGGGTATATATGCGATCTCTATTCAAGAGCTCACCAGCATCGTGCGGTTGATGTTCTCGGAGGTAAAACGATTCGGAAGGCGTGCACTTCTAGCGTTGCTCTAAACTCTGCTCGTCGGATTTGGCGTGAGTCTTTTCCTCTTCCCTTCACATATCACTCCTTTAGTGTTCAGAGAGGTTAGGTGCACTGACTGTATTCTGAGAATTAAAATAAATGAAAACAGCGGACTTCTATGTGGGAATTCCAGTGGCTAGGGTGCCGTAGATGTTGATCGGTCCCTATTCTTTACATTCCCAAACTTGATAACTCGTGATTATTTTGGGTGGTTACCCCTGAACTAATGTTTTATTTAATTCAGCATAAGCAATATGACCACAGCGTATCGTATCGGTCATATCGTGTTGGCGAGGGACCTTTATATTCAATTTATTGGTACATTTTAATTGAAGTAAACTTGAAATAATAAACATATGATCTAAATGAGAATGCTTTACTCCTTAGCATTTTCTACCTAAACTAAGGCGTATAGAGCAGTGATTACTTATTAAATACAATCATGGTGGTACATATGCATTTCGAAGGCAATAAATTCGAGTAAATAATTTGTTTGCCAATTATAGGCCGTACTCACTATTAGTAAGATTTAAATTTGTCACTCACGGTTATATCCATCTGTGCAGGTTCTTTAAAGTTTTCGGTATCTGCGCATAATGAAAGTAATTTTATCGAAAGTCGCTGATACGGGTAACACTACTATGTACTCACACAAAATTCGTATATTAAGATTACATTAAAATAATAAAAATAAAGCAAAGGAAAATAATTAAAATGAAAGATTGGCTGGCCTCCCGACAACATCAAATAGCTAATAATCCTATGCAGCAAATAAATTCCAATTAGAACGCATATGCGTGAGGTATCGAGAGAGCTAGACTATTCGAGTGCGGTTAACTTTATTTCGTTTCCAGAAAATGACTTTTCTTTTTTCACTCCTTTGTGGATTGTGTCACACCTACGTTATACGTTTCCAAACGCGGCTATACTCTACCGAGTAAGATAAGTTATGAACGACACAAAAACAAGCTATGAAAAGGGCCGATGCCAACTTTTAGCAAACTAATTCGCCGAATAAGCGCAGATTTTGGGCGGTGGGTGAGTGTGGGGCTGTTTAATGTTTATAAAGCGCGGAGGCGGCTTACGCAGACCGGCCGATAGCTGAGGTTGGTGGCCGCTGCTAACGCTCCCTACGCGGATCTACGTTCAACAGTACTAACAGTCTTTCCTGACAAAAGCGTCACCAGTTCAATTACTTTGTCGCGTTCGCAAATATTGCTTAGCCAAATACGTTTGTCGTCAATTTTAATTATAACCAAGAAAATGTAATTTTAGCATTGTTAATACAAAAATGATACGATAGCTCTTGCAACAATGGTTTTTGTTTAAAACATACACTAGATTTCGAGGCAGAAATAGGTTTTTGGAGTTTTCAATTTAGGTAAGCAATGAATTTACTTTCTATTTACTTACTAATTTCTGACTGTTAGTTCTTCAAACGGTTAAGTACATTTCATTTTTTTTTTTTTTGAGATAAAAATATATTAAAGAAACGAATAAATAAGAACACTTGCAATGCCCTGCTTCATGCGTGAGAAGAGTCTTTCACACCTCCCTCGGCGTGTTAAGGCACCCGACCGAGATGTATTGGCGCCCAAGCCAGTACATCCTCGAGCCTTGAGATTCCATGGACTCTTTGGTATGTCCTATGTGCGCCAGCATGTGATGGTTGATGATCGATGGACGCCAAACTCCTTGACGGAGGAATTCGGGGGCATGTCCCAATTGTTAGGTAAGTCTTTGACGTACATTCTACATATACACCTTAATGCCAAATACTACTTACTGATAGCCCGTCGTGCGGTCTTCAAGCGGCACGAGACAAAGGCCAATCGGCAGCGCTACTTTCTAGAAAGAAAACGGTTGAAATTACAGTGTCGCGATGGACGGTCTAAGCTTCAGAAAATACTTACCGGAGATAATACCCACAAGATTCGAAATTTCTTGAACAACCACTGGGAAATGCAGCGTCTGTACCAAAGAATGCCCATACATCTGGTCGTGGACAATATCAGTCAGCGTAATTGAATTTTTACGAGCCAATTCTGCGCTCCCTCCATGGTGACATGGAGGAGCAGGCGAATTTCATAAAGCACATACTCTATATGTATAGAGTATGTGCTTTATGAAATTCGCCTGATCCTTTATGTCACCATCGAGAGAGCGCAGAATTGGCTCAAAAAAATTTGCATCGCGACGTTAATAAATTAACTTAAGCAAATTTACTATAACAGCGTGAGTTTTTGGAATCTTATTAAAATACTGCGGCACGTTGATCACCAGCCAAAATTATTAAGCTCTCACTATCCCAATTCGTATTTGAAGTTGCCACTTCTCAAATTCGAAATGATCAATATGCTCAGCACCATAGATTTAAGATGAAAACAGTTGAGTACAAATAAAATAATACATCTAATAATCTCTATACATACAACTATTTGTCCTCACTGACTGACTGACTGATTGCTGATCAACGCGCAGTCCACACCGTAAGAGCTAGGAAGCTACAATTTTAACTGTAGTTACCTTATTTGATGAAGGTACACGTTAATACGGGGTTTCGGGAAATTCCAGCCGGAAAAGTGGAAAAATCGCAACAAATGTTTGTATGAAACTTTATTGTTTACCATAATTGGTCAATTTATTCCTCCTTGGTGGAAATGCCATTTAAGACGGGTTTCACATTTTTCACAAATTCAAAGCTTACTAAGTGGAATGATCGTTTTGCTTCAAACTTATTTTCATAGCTCTATTATAATTATAATTTGCTTATTTTTTTTTGTCATTTTTATACCCTGAACCCATTCGTCCGTCCGTCCGTCTGTCCCTCTGTCCGCATGTATGCACCCTATAAGAGCTAGAGAATTGAAAGCTGTAGGTCCTTCTAGTGCCTCCGCAGATCGAGTTTGTTTCCGATTATCGATAATTTACTCCGTTTCCAATCAATCGATTAAAATCGACATCGTCAGTTTTTGAGTATCGATAGTTTTTGAGTAAATTTTGATGGTTCGCTTTACGGAGAGTTTATCCAGGAGCTCGTATGGAACTTCTGTAACAGACGCGTGTTGTATTAATCAGTAAGGCATCGGGGTCGTGTTGAAACAGGCGTTACAATACACTATTTTCAGGCCAAGTTTAAAGCCGTGTGTTTTTGAAGGCAAGGTTAGTGAGGCTCCTTACATCCTTGACCATTCCTCTAATCTCCTCTAGGAGATTGGGTTAAGCATTCCATCATTTAAGAAATTTCTCTGAAGGAATTGGACAGCATTGAACACGCTTATCACAAGCTGCGTTGATGTACCATTTGGTGGGTGTAGCAGGGAGTTCAGAAGCGGCGGCCATAGGACGAGAACGTTGTCTTCGGCATACATTGCCTTTATTTCTTTTGGAAGACACGACCACTGGCTGCAATCTGCAATGGTAGTGTTGGTAGTTATTTGTGAAGCCTCTTGAGCTGTTGATTTTCTTTATGACGCATCTAAACGGCCTGTCTTCGCGCTGCTGGTAGTGTTGGAATTCGGTACCGAACTGAATCAGCATAAAAGTCATCTTTCTGTACGACTCAGTATCCTTACATTGGATGAACATGTCGCCCCTCATATTTTAGGCATTCAAAGAAAAAAAGTACTGCTGTGCGGTCATGCTAAACGTGAAGCAAGCCTTTGCTGGGTATGGCACCCCGATCTACTCCGTAAACTTAGGGCAAACTCACCAAACTGAATTGCATATATGGAGATGCTATCTCGTCTATAAAGAATATCAGATCCGAAATCCCGTAATTCAGCGTTCTCCACGGTGTACACAGCCGACATGCCTGTCAGCCATCTTTGGGATACCGCAAGCAGGAGCAACCTGAGCATTGTTCACCGGTTTTAAAATAAAACTAACGCGTATATCATCAAAATAAGGTAATTCACAACCAGCTAAATATTCCTTGGTTAAACCAGGTTATTGCTGAGTGATCGCCACATTTTTAAACTCATTTTCAAAGATTTTTGTTCAAATTTATTTATTTGAGGGCTGTTTTACAATTTTCGAAAAAGCCATTTCTCCTAGGTGGAAATGAGGGCCAAAGATATATACGAAAAATCGTGTCTCAAACTTTTCGCAAAAATTCATGCTTTGTCGATAGAAAATGCGATTCTAAGATTTTTTGGTGAGTTTTTAGACTTACTATGTATAGCAATATGCTGAACTATGTTTAAATAAAGTTCGCATACAATACACGTTGTAACAGATTTGTTTTAAATTTAATTTTATTAAGCATAATCGGTCCGGAAAACTGAATCCATCTATCTTTATATAGATAATTCATTTCGTTATAGTTGGCTAGCAAAATCATAAAGCAGAATTATTTATTGTTAAAACAAGTTTTTTTTTATTGGTTTTGATTTTGCCAATATAAATCAAATGTTCTCACTTAAGCCTTAAAATTTTATATAAAATTTCCTCATAAAAGGTTTCTGCAACATACCAATAAACTATCTATCAAAATATTGTGTTTATTTTTAAAATGTCCACTTTTCGAATTTGTGATTATTTTTAAGATATTGAAAACAAATATGTAGCTAAAGTATATTTTAATAATTTGTGCTATGCCTATAAGTAGACAACACTTTTAAATAAACAGCGGGGCGCCGTAGAGTAGGAAACTCTCTCACATATATACACATAAATGCAATAATTTAGAGGCAACAATCAGGCATGGAATTTTCATGAAAGCTATAGCTACAAAAAATCCGAATCTAGCTAAATTTTACAGGAACTATAACAAAACGGCAAACTTAAAAAAGTGTTTATGCCAATATTTTCACGCTGCTGTTCAAGCTATACTTTACTCTTACTCAAAGGAAAATCTTATTCTAGGTCTATAAAAAACCATATTAAAAAAAACTTAAATTCTTACGAGTACTTTCTACATGAACAAAGTACAAAGTACATGTACTATCTGGATAAAACTAAAAATTCCCAAAAAAATGTTGGTGTTTTCAATAAACACAGAAATTAGCATGCAAACCTAAAGAAAGGTAAAAAAAATAACTTAATTATTTACATTAAAAAAAACATGGTTTAAACTGGGTGGCAACTCTGCTCAAATATATTGAGTTTAGGTGACGCAGTTTTTGGATTAATCTAGCAATCCAGGAATATTTATTAACTCTTGGAACATACATACATATATGTACGCTCAAGATGTACATTAAACATAACACTCATATAAGAAACACAACATATAATAAAATGCAAAGCATTCGCTCGCCGTCAAATAGACTGAACACTAGCCAGCTAGTGTGTTTTACATAAATTATATATATATAATTAAAATCCCAAACAAATAAGCAAAATATCAATTCCTTCACTTACTGTGGTAAGTCTTAGACTAAAAAGTGCTAAAAAGAATGGGATGATTTTATCATCTTTGGAGAAGCCTCTGAACTCAAGAAATTAGCCATATCAGCAAAAATTAATAAATATTAAAGCAAATAAAACAGCGAAGCACAACAGTGAAGCAAAACCATCCAAAACAAATTTAAAAGAGAATACAAATAGATAAATAAAAAAAATTGACAGCTCAGTGAGTGACACATCAATAAGCAGCGCTCACTCGATTAAAAAAACTTGCATATATACTAATGTTAATATGGGTTCAGCGGAAATTATATTAAGAAGGTACCTTACCTAGCAATTAAATACCTGAAAGTCCCAATAACAAACAGCAACAAATACAACGAAAATAAGAATAAACACTTGATTTTAAACACATATAACTCGGATATCGTCACCAAAGGTTCTAATACTGAAAACCCAACTCTCCTATATGATGACACAAGTCAAAATGAAGCCATTCAAAACAAAAACATAAAGAATGGTCTACTCCTTTTTGAAAAAAACTCGTCACCTTAAAATCAACATTCTGAAGAACATAACGGCGCTTGGAGTAATTCTATATACATTGTTTTTTGATGATGCCACCAATGCAAATCACATAATTAACAAGAGGTTCTGGTCTGGAGCTCCCGACTACGGGATACCCTGAACCCTCTTCCAACACCAAATGCAAATGTATATACTATTCTAGAAGCTTTATGTTAAGTTTGGTGACTCTATCTCTTATTATTTAAGAGAAATTGACCAAAAACGAGAATTTCGAAATAGATTTTTATCGATTGCTTGGAAACGAGGCAAGCTTTCATCCCGAGGAACTAAACGGTCAGACGAGGAAATTTACAATAACATCCAATCTGAAGATAAAATTAAATCTTTCAAAAGAATGAGGAGAAAAAATAATGAAGCGATTGAACTATTAAAAGAGAATATATTAGAACCAACTGAAATAGTGGAACTTTTTAACATGTGCTCCCCAAAAGTATTGCACTTCTACCTAAGTGCCAGACAATGCTTTAATTGTGGAGGACTGGGACGCATAAACTCTATGTGTAAATCCAAGAAATTATTTCTCCGCTGTGGTAAAGCAAATTGATGCGCCCTGGATGAAAAAGTGAGAGATGTATCTTATGTAAATGTAGTGGACATCACTCCTGGGAGAAGAGTTCCTGCCCAGTGTGGATCAAGGAAACTGATATTTTGAAAATTATGACAATAAACAAACTGACCGGAAAAGAAGTTATAGAAAGCTATTCTCTGAACAACAATGAAATGTACACCCAAAAAACAATGACGACAATTTCCCACAACTAAGTCCAAAAATAAAAAACGTGATCAGCAATGACACAAGTGTCAATCAAATCATTAATAAAACGTTATTCAGCAAGGTGGTGCAGCAGGTCCACGCCCATCTTTAATCTATCCTCATACACCTAAGATACAAGCCAACATCTCTTGTCACCAAGGATCTTTTTCCACGGCTAGTGCACATTCTTGGCAAAATTTAAGCATTTTGTCGCGTTTTGCAGCGTTAAAGCTCAAGTCCAGAACAATAAAAGCCTTTACAGGGAGATCGAAAACGATCTGCAGGCTCATCACATGCTCAGGTCCAAAATGAAATGCACGACTGTGCTGGACGAGGCGCTATTAAATAATCTTATCCGAAGAGGAAGTCAAGTGTGTACTGTTTGGAATTATTTCATATATCCTTGTGTATATATATATATACATATATATATATATCTTGTATTATTCGACAGTCGACTAGAACGCATTCGAGAATTGAAAATTATTTTAAAAAAGGATGAGGATTTCGAGCAATCTGTAATGGACCATATCAATAATTTCGCGGATATTTACGTAATGTTACGGTATATATATTTCTGATCAGCATTAACATCCGATTCGATATATATGCGTATATCTACAATGGTATTCAATCTTCGGCATGCCAAGGATATCCACACTTTCTTACCTTTTCTTCTGTTCTAATCCGTTTTACTTATTTAATGCAGCGTTAGCATTTGGAACATTATTGCTATTTTGCAAAATGTTGATCATGATCCCAGGAATTTCACTTGTAGATATCCCAATTCGTATTTGAAGTTACCATTGCTTAAATTCGAATTGTTTGATATGCGCGCCTTGCCGCCAGGCTTCTACGAAGAAGACAGTTAAGTTAAGCTACGCACCACATAAAATCCATTACAAATATTAATTATTTTGAAATTTGAAATACGCAGTTGACAAACACATGCATGTTCTCAGGGGGCAAATGGAATCGGAGACGCGGATCTGCCGCAATAAATATCATCAGGCTTTTCTGGCTACTCGCCAAATGTATTCAAATGTCAATTAAGACGATGAGCACATGGCTGTGCCTGGTCTCGACTATGAGAAAGAGAATGCGATTCCGATTCCACGATTCCGTCTCGAAAGCAAATTAAGGCTTTCAGTGCTACAGCTATGGAATCGGCCAGATTCAATGAAGACAACTGAGATATAATTTTTATCAAAAAAATATAATATTTAGATAAATATATATATAGAATTAGATTTGATTTAACGCTTGATCGCGGCCAAGTTGAAAATCTTATCAGTAATGAAAAATATTGCTGGAGGAGAAGATAGTATTGCGTATATTATGAAAGGAAATAGAAAACGCGAGGTTCGACCGGTGGAGCTGAAATCACGAAAGAATCTTCACGGAAAGTTTGGTACCATTAAAATCGACTCCAGCCGCTGGCCAGTAGCATTCCTAGTGAAGGCCAAAAAGATTCTATCAGCGGACCCGAAACGTTATGTGCGGGAAACTCGGAGCATGACAATGCTCAAGGTGGAGCTGCAGTCGAGCCAATCTACGAACTAAAGTTAGTGATACCCTGCTCACAGGCGAAGGGGATATATTCACTGTGAGTATAATGAAAGGCCTTCAACAATAGCTTGCATAGTTTTAAGTCTACAGCGTTGATGGCCAAGTGAAAAACAATGTTAAGTTGAAATGCAGAAGCACAAAATTTAATTCGCCACAATGCTGCAAGGGGAACAATCTATCTGAGGGAGAGATCAAGTAAGCAGCTTGTTAAGGTTTCCAAACATAAATCGTAAACTTTATTTGTTTATTTTAATTTTTAAATTCTTTGTTTTATTTGCTGAGATAGGGTAAGCCTTTTGCATCTTATTGATATATTATGGCACGTAAGTCGCAATCCTAAAGTCTTTCGTACTAACTATCTGAATTCGTAATTGAAATTGACATTCCTCAAATTTGAGAGAAGTGGACAAAGACGGTAAATTATGCTAATCGATACAAAATCTAGTCAAGCGTAAGGTATTAAAAACCGCCAACAAGCTGCTTTAGCACCCGAACGCGGCCGCCAGGGTTCTGGCTGACCCCATCACGGTGAGGCACCTTCGAAGGCTACACCCCGACCACCTACCCACAAGGCGTATTACTTAAACACCATCACTGGATATATCATCTTTGTAAATATAATATAAGTTAAATTATTCGCTTGGTAGAGATCAGAATGCACTGATCGATTCCTGCGCACAAATAAAAACAAGTAAGAGGTTCTAGTCGGGAGCTCTCGATTAGGGGATACCCTGAATCATCTTATTCCAACACCAAATAAATTAATAAAAAAAAACTCCCTTGGCAGGGCTCGAATTTGAACTGACCGCATTACTTACTGTCGACTCAACTCACTGGCCACACCAGCAAAAAAAAATAATAATACTTTCCCCGGTAGGGCTCGAACTCGAAAAAAGGAACTAAAATAACATTACAAAAAAAAGTACAATTACCATGCTATTAGAATGCGAAGCAGACGCGCATGAATGTGTGTGTATACATGTATACAGAAATTCTTAAAGCTGCTGCCCCATTTAATTGTGCAGTTGCATATAACTTTGCTTTTTCTTAACCGATCTTTATGAAATTTTCTACATTATATCTTATTGTACCATAGAATATTTGTGTATTCTGAAAAATGCAATTGCATTTAAATTGTGGTCTAAATTGGTTGGCTATAAAAGTTGGGTTATTAACTTGATTTATAGCTCTGGGGTGGTAGCGGGGAGGTGGCGATAGGTATAATATGAAAGATACTTGAAATATTTATAATATTCTAGAAGCAACATATCATGTTTGGTGGCTCTAGCTCTTATTATTTACCCAATTTGCTAAAATAAACAGGATGTCGATATCGATTTTTATCGACTGCTTGGAAACGGAATAAGTTATCGATTATCGGAAACAAACTCGATCTGCGCAGGCACTAAAAGCACCTACATCCAAAACTTCAAGTCTATAGCTCTTATATGTTCTGACATCCTTGCGTTCATAAATACGGACGGACGGACGGACAGACAGGCGGACATGTCTAGATCGACTCGGCTATTGGTGCTGATTAAGAATATATACTTTATGGGGTCGGAGATACTTCCGTCTGCCTGTTACATACATTTGGATTTTGCACAAATACAATATACCCTTTTACCCATTTTTAATGCGTTCAGGGTATAAAAACGAGGTAGCTATCTATCTATCTGGACATTGAAGTGCATTAAAATCGAGTGCCTGCACAGATCGAGTTTGTTTCCGATTATCGAGAACTTACTCCGTTTCTAAGCAATCGATAAAAATCGATATCGATATCCTGTTTTTTTTGGCCAATTTTGGTAAATAATAAGAGCTAGAGTCACCAAACTTGACATATAGCTTCTAAAATAGAATATATATATGCATTTCATGTTGGAAGACGAGGGTTCAGGGTATCCCCTAGTCGGGAGCTCCCGACTAGAACCTCCCACTTGTTTGCTTTCAATTTGTGACTAGAAAGTCTGAAAAAAAAAATTTGTGAAATACATTTTACACTTTTCATAGGAGCCCATGGATTAGGTTTCTACTCATTTTTATAAACTTCATTGTACATATTCATTATTTTAATTGTTAGGTACACTTCATTCCAACAGTTTCACAAAAAAAAAAAAAATAAATAAAAAAAATTAAAAAAATAAAATAACATATATATATACAAAAAAATAATACACAATGCCCTGCTTTACGCGAGAGAAGAGCATATCATACGTCTCGCGGCGGGATAAGCAAAATGACAGAGATGCTATGGCACCGCGGCCAGTGCATCCACGCGCCCTTAGCTACCATGGATTCCTTGGCGAGGGCTTTGTGCGCCAGCATTTGGTGGTCGACGAGCGTTGGACGCCCAACTCTTTGACCGAACAGTTTAGTGGCATGTCAGCATTGTTGGGTAAGTGATCGATATATGCAAATCTCCTCGGATTAATTACCACTTAATTGACAGACCGTCATGCGATCTTCAAGCGGCTGGAGACCAAGGCCAGTCGTCAGCGCTTCTTTACGGATAGTAAGCGACTTAAACTGCAATGCCGCCTGGGCCGTACAAAGCTGTTGAACATCGTAACTGGAGATAATACACACAGCATTCGCAACCTGTTGATCAAACATAGGGATATGCAGCGTCTGTACCAGAGAATGCCCATACATCTAGTTGTGGATAATATCAATCAGCGCACCTTTGTGCTGCGCAAGGAGCGGGATCGTCTGGAGTGTCGGTTGAGTCAACTAAAGTGTCGGTACAGAAAAATGCTGGTAGGTCTTCAGTGAAGAAATAAGAAATGAAATATTTATAAATTTGTTTGCAGATTGATCGTGCATTTCTAGAAAACCGCATCAAGTATCAGAATGAGTTTGTCTTAGAAGAGGAGGTGAAGTCGCAAGGGTTCATCAAGAGGATTGAAAACTCAAATATTCGCCTGAAGGCCATCAAGGTCATTAACTCTGCATACCAGAAAATGGTGCAGGTGCTGTTGCAGGATGAAATATTTTATGAGCCCATTATCCGGTCTCTCGCTGACGACATGGAGGATCAAGCGAATTTCATAAAGCATATACTCTACCTTGGCATGCCAGCGATAGCCAAGTTCAGGGAGCTCAACTTCCAGTATCGACAGTTGGAGATCAAGTCACGTAAAAATCTTTTGGAAAAGCAAAAAATGCTCGCCTCATTAGTTAACAACAAGCCAAGTGGTTCTGTGGTTCCTATGCGTGCTAAGGCCGCACAAGAGCTTTCGGCAACAGCAGATCCTAAGCGTTATTTGCGAGAGACGCGCAACATGTTGTTGCTAAAGAATGTGCTGAAAGTCGTCGAGGAAATAATCAAGGAGGTAAAGTTTGGTACACTCTGCTCCCAGGCCAGGGAGATTTATCCGCGGTAAGTCCACCACAATCATGAACGGCTGAAGCTTTAACTCCTGTTTGCAGTATGAAGAGCCAGATGGAGAACAATGAGAATATACGACGCATCGCCGAGCGCGAGGTGATGACTAGATATGCGCTGGAGGACCGAATGAAATTGGCCTCTGTGCTACAAGGCGTTTTAGTCAACAATCTATCTGAGGAGGAAATTAAGTATGCACATAACAACGTGAAGAACAATAATTTGCAATAATCTTTTCAACTATAATGCCACAGTCGCCTGGAGTACATTAAGGACTTGAGAAAATCTGTGAAAGACGAGGAGAATATCGAGTTGGAAATAATGGAGTATTTAAAGAATCGCGGCAATGCCTTTATTATGTTCCGGTAAGTCTATCATTTTCTCTTGCAAGTGACTATTACATTTTATTTGGCCATACAGCTTAAGTCTTTGGAATCTTATTGAAATATTGCGACATGTCGATCGCAGTCCCAAAAAATTCCAGATGATATATCCGAACTCGTATTTGAAACTGCCCCTTCTCAAATTCGATATGCTAACAATGTACGCTGCGCCGCCAGAGCTTTACGAGGAAGATCGTTAAGTTGTGAAATCTGCTAGAAGCGAATTGTTATTTTTACCCTATTTTTTTTTTTTTTTACACAGTTGAGAAAGTTATGCACGTGCTAAAGCGAAAAGTATATAAGATGATGAAGCTTTTCAACGCGGATATGGAATCGTCGAGGCAGAACTGTAAAGAAAAGTATCATTCCGCTTATTTGGCCACCGTTAATACTAACGAATTCATGGGCGATGACGAGGATCAGACAGCAATTGCTGATGATGATATAATACAGGACCAGAAGATCATGGCCAATGTACCGAATCGCAAGCAGATCAAGATGCTGAGCAGCAGAGTTGTCGAGCAAGCTGTCAGACGTGAAGAACAATAATAATAATATTGTATTTACAATAAACATTACCGAATATCCGAATTCGCAAGAATGGGGATCGATACAGTTGGAAAATTTCCCTGCTATTAAAGCGGGCGTTTAGTGAAATTTATCAATATCGATTGACCAGGTTTTTATACCCTGAACCCATTAACAATAGGTAAAAATGGTATGTTTTTGTTTTAATGTATATAACGGGCATAAGGAAGCGTCTGTCCGTCCGTCCGTCCGTATGTATGAACGCAAGGATCTCGGAACCTATAAAAGCTAGACTTGAAATAGCTGTAGGTCCTCCTAGTACCTGCGCAGATCGTGTTTGTTTTCGGTAATCGATAACTCGCTCCGTTTCCAAGCAATCGATTTCGACATGCTATTTTTTGAGCAAATTGAATAAATTTTAAGAGCTAAAAATAGCATTTTTAACATGTATCCTTTAGAATATTCTATCAAGTATCTTTCATTTTATACCTATCGTCACTTTCCCGCTACTGTAAATCAAGTTAATAACCCAAATTATATTGCCCACTAATTTAACACACAATGTGAGTGCAATTGCCTTTTGAGAATACACGAATATGGTGTAATAAGATATACTGTAGAAAATTTCGTTAACATAAGTTAATAAAAAAACATAACTTAATTTTTACTGCGGATGGAGCTAGTGCAAATTCGAAGAATTTCCTTATACATGACACGCACACATTCATGCGCGTTTGCTTCGAAGTCTATCAACAGCATTGCAACTTCGATTGTATTCTGTGCTGCTATTTGAATTGGTTAGTTTTTTTTCAATAATACTTAACTATTGGTATGGCTGTTGAGTAGAGGTATATCAAGTGGTTCAGCCTGTCGCGCGCCCGGGGGATGGCTATTGAGTAGTGTCGTCAGCAAGT